TATTAGTCTAATTGACTATAAAGATTTAAATTACATAATTTTTTTTTCATAATTACATAATTTAAAAGCTAAATAGAATTATCAAAAATGCAGCTCATATTGCTTTAAAGTTTCGCAACTATGCCAACAATAAGGAGAGGAAATGTGAGCAGTTTTTTTTTTTTTTGAGCAGTGGCTTAGTAAATGATACCCCCGCCTCCCATATAAATATAATGGCAAAAGCGATGTTTTTGCTGGTGGAGAGCTGCAAACTTGGTCCTTTACTGGCACTCAGAGCCATTGATCAAGGAATCATCTTTTCGTGCCAGCACCTACTGCGACAGGGACATCGGTTAATTCAGTCTTATTCGAAGGACTGGTCTCAACGTCACATTTTGAAAATTGAACCCGCGACGTAAGGATTAACTTGTTACATGTATATGTACTTCGGAACTCAAAGAAGACGATCTTACCTCTGCACCATCTCCAGAATAAGTGAGAGCCAGCACAACTAGATCTTATACAGTTGATCAACCTAGAGATTAATCTTCCAATGCGCTTGACGCAATTGTTAGAGCGTCTGCTTTAGAGTCGCAAAGTAAGGACTTGATCCTTACGTCGCGGGTTCGAATCCCATTGTGGGACGGGGAGACCGGTCCCTCGGATGAGACCGAATACACCGAGGCCACGTGTCGCAGAAAGTGCTGACACGAAAAAGATCCCTCCATGTTCATTGGCCTTAAATTCCGAATGTAGGACAATTTGCAGCTCTCCACCGGCAAGTGGTGGCGTCTCCATATGAGTGAAAAATTCTCGAGAGGGAACAATAAACAATCAACCCAATCCTTCAGGAAGAGCAAGACCCTGCAGATTGTAGCATAACTCCTGAAGAGGTCAAAATACTCGTATAATCCATAATTGTAGAAACAGTTATTTCTGGATTAGGCCGAGGCATTGAAACTCTTGAAGGTGAATGAAAGGTCAAGGACATGGAAGTGGTATGTTGGGTATTCGCTCGGTCCTACATAAAATTGAAGATACTCACATTTTCAGCTTATCTATAATAACCTTGATGTCGAGCTGTTTAAAGGATGGAATATAATAATTATCTTGTAGCCAACAAAACAAAAGACCGCGCCATACATCAACAAGACCTCGACGGCTAGTGACGCGAATTTAGGAGAGCAGTCAACCAACAGCAACAGACTAAACTTCTTTACAATAAAGGTGTGTGTAGGCTCAGGCAAAAACTTCAATATCCAAACTTTATCTCTATGAAATTTTGTGTTTTACTGAAGCAAAATCGGATAATACTGACGAAATTAACATACCAGGTTATTGTACTTTCATGAAAATATATTTAATATATCAAAGATTAAATAGTATAGTTATGTTTAATAAGGCTGCCTCTTCCAAAGTTGTGAATCTCATGGCCCCAGGGTCAGGGGTTCTAGTGGCAGGGCGGGGCTATATAGATTATATAGTGAAAATGCAAAAAGTTTTTGAAATTCTTCTTCTCTGTTCAGGGGCATTAAATAAACTAACCAAGTGCATAGAATCTTCTTTTCTGCACCTGGGTATTTAACCAATGAACTATGTACGTAGTTATGAGGAAGAAGAATGCCTCTTTGAGATTTTTGAATTCCAGGGCCCTAGAGCAGGGCTTTTTGTTTTAGGGCAGGGCTCATGATTATAAAGTGAAAATGCATGAATTCTTTGAAAATCCTTTCCTTTGCTCCTGGGTATTATGCCAATGATCTTATTTCATATTTAAAGGATGTCATATTTCTAATATTCAAAAATTAATGAAATTTTCACAGAATCAAGAAGACAATACCAGTAATTGATAGTATCAGTGAAATTAAATTTGACCGTTTTATATTAGAGGCAAGGTCAGGTCAGGTTTGGAATACATGCATAAACACACGTGTACAATTAATGAAATTTCAAACTGAAGAAAAAATTGCATAAACCGGAGAATCTGTCAAAACTAGAGGGGTTTGCCAGGCCAACTTGGTTTTGTAAAAAAAAGTTATATTAATTTAATTTTTAAAGCGGTAAAAAAAAACAGAATAAGGGGAAGTTTATTGCTTTCATAGTTTAAAATAAATGCATTTTCTCAGCAAAAGAATATTAATGATCTCGAGTAGCACCGTTACTATGCAGTTTTCTGTTGTTGGTACCTGACTACATTGTACTACGGTCTTGTGATTTCACTAGATGCACGGACTACCCGATCCCTGAGGCATTCTCTCTGTTAATTACCTGTGTATTGTGTGTGTTCAAGCGGAAAGTGATTTCCTGTTACGTAGTTGATGTATATTTCACAGTTGTAACAAAGGGTTCATGTTTATTAGAGTCTTATCAATGCAAAAAATGATAAAATGACACTTGTAAAAAAAAAAATTCAATGAGCGGGGGGAGGGGGGGGGGTCCCAAACCCCCCTGAATCCGCCCTTGTTCGGCGCGCTCGCGCAACAGATTTATCGCTTATACATCATCGGGCTCGATATCCTTTACTAATCAAAGTACTGAAAGTACCGATAGGTGTTGATTTTAATGATGGTTTCAATAAAATTTAATGTTTCACACCTTGTTCACAACTTTTTCAAGGTGAGGTTTGTTTTGATCTCACCATAACCTTAGAATGATATGCCAAAAAGTGTAAGACTTCAATTTTTTTCAATGAAATTAATAAGATTTTTTTTCTGACCAAAAGTTTGTTTAAAAGGGCTATTGATAAGCAAAGTCATTTCTGTAACCAAAGTACTCCCCATCCTCGGACCTCTAATAAAGACGAGTTAATTCTTAGTAGTACTATTATTTTAAAACGTAACAAGTAAGCAAAAAAAAAGAAGAAAAGAAAAAAAGAAAAGAAAAAATATATATCTATTGTCCAAACACGAAAATCTTATTTCTTTCGCGGGGGGGGGGGGGGGGGGGGGGGTCGAACTTCTTTCAATACCAATTTTTGTTCTGGGAAACTGTACAGTTACAATACTAACCCTTCTTCCCAGGTTCCCAGGCATATTGTTAAACATAAAATAAATTTATTAAAACCAAAGCACTCAATATTTTTAAATGCTATAGTTAAAGTTTGGAGATATTATACATGTATCATTGGGTAAATTTCGGATTACTCTTGCATAGGCGTCAGAACCGGGGAGGGGGGGGGGGCTTAACTTTTTTTTTTCGAAAGGTGGACTTAGTATAGACATTGGACAGTGCAGCGTAGGTTTAGCCCCACCCCACCCCCCACTTTCCACAGACATGTTGAAATATAGGCTTAAAATGAGGAAAGTGTTGGTGTTTAGAAAAAATTTGGTACTGAGGTTCGAACCTACACCCCCCCCCCCCCCCCACACACACACACACGAAATAGAATTTCCATATTTGGCCAGTGCATCAATGCATATTTCCTTTTTTTTTTTTTTTTTGCTTGTCAGGTTTTTCTGAAGGTAAAAAACAAATTTTTTACACCACTTTCAATTTGCTTCCGACGCCAATGTCTTGCACGAATTGTGGTAAGGCATGTATGGCTCAAAGGGGATCCGGATCCTTGAAAAATTCAAATTTATTTGAACTGACATAGTAATATTACTAAAGCTATGCCTTGGACCTCTTCCCTTGCGATTTGAGCCACCACCTCCAAGGAAATATTTCTGGATCCACCTAACAAAAGAATGCATCGGGCTCGGGCTGACGACTTGAATATAAGCGATAACACTTAAATAATAAAGTGTTTATAAAGTAAATAATAGAGTGTTTTAATGCAGGGAGAAAATACTTTTGTGATATTGGGATGAGATGGACGCGCTGGCGCGCCGAATACAATTAGCGGTATGACTCCATTTTTCACAGAGTTATGCCCCTTGGACTTAGAAAAATTCCAATTTAGGGAGCGGGGAGGGGGGAGGCATAAGTGTTTTACAAACATCTCTTGTTAAGATCAAAAATTAGTCGTTCCAAGAAGGATGAGGAAGGATGCTTCAATCAAAATTGCATTTTTGGTTCCAATGGAAGGGCTTAAGGGGAAATGAGTCTGATGAAAATAATTTCATAGTTTTTATGGTCATGTAGACTTGTGAATAATTGACAAATAAAAATTGAATGAAGTATCTTTAATTACTTTTAATGTTCAGAACCAATAGAGCTGGGAATGAATTTGTTTTACTAAAATATGGTTTTATTTTGTCCTCAGGGGAAAGGGACGAATACAGGAGTGTTGGAGTACTAAATTTTAGCCCTGATCATCCTATTTCTACTGGTTTTGTGCAATATAGCTACATGTTTCAACTTATTTTGTTTTTGTTTTTTCATTTTATGTTTCAATCAATAGATCCTTTCCAGTTGTATTAATTACATTACACTCAAGTGAGCGTTAAAGCCCTAAGACTTTTTGTTGGAATTGTTCTCTTATCAGTTGCATTTGAATGTGTGATTTTATCCTTTTTATTAAAATAAGTGAAGCAATTGTCTACTTACATAAACAAGCAGTCTGAGAGTATTGCATAAGCAATACATATCCCCTACCGGGTCTCCCTTTTTCTTCAGAATGTCATTTCATAATATGCAGAAGTTCTGACCGAGGTAAAACTTGATTTTGAGGTTGTGAATGCCTTAAACCTAATAAAATAATCCACATGAAGATGAAAGTGCATCTCATTTTTTCAACGTCTTTTTTCTCGTTTCATATTTACCATGATGACTATCGGAGTTCAGCGCAGCACGAACCCGATCCGATCTCAAATCATTATGAAAAATTAAAAATGCCATAAATCTGTCAAAAAATCAATGAAGCGAAACGAAATTCAAACTTCATCTGTAACTCATTAAGATACACTCACATACCAAAATTCAGCTCAATATCTGCAAGCGTTTAGAAAAAAGTGGGGAAAACCAAGCAGGACAGACTAACAGACAGACGGGGACAGACAGACAGCTAGACGAACGGACGGACAGACGCAAAGGAAACCGGTTTCACCGGTAGGGGACTAACAATTCTATGACTATTGTACTATTTTTAAACAATTTTTTTTATTAACACGGGACAGTTACAAGTTATTGTAATCAGGTGTCAAGCCAGTTGTACTCCACTGAAGGTTGTCCATGGACCCAGCAACTCCGCGACTCTATCATGGACATCCTTGATATACACATGGTCTCCTTCCTGCAGAACCAGGATTATGGTGTTCCCAGCAGTTACCCACTTATGTCCACCATTTATATTATTTGAACCTTGTCTTCCCATCATCTTCCCATTCACAACCAACCCAGCATGTGACTGTTTCCCTGGGTCACTAAGGGAGGACCAGGCAAACAAATAGAGGCCTTTTTCAGGAGCAAAGAATTCCCCAGTGGTTGAATTGTAACCGTTCCCCACGTTGGTGATGATTTTGTCATAAATCCATGTCTGACCGCTAGCAATGGTTTTGTCAGATCCCATTTCAGCTTGGAAAGCTACAGGGACTGCAAAATACATGTAAATGTGTTTTCAAACACTTCAGTCGAAAGATTGTATGATTTGTGGAGTTATAAAGTGCTACATATACCGTATAAGCAGAATTTTTTTAGCGAGGATTTAATTTTGGCATTATTAGCGAAGGTGCTGATATCGCTAAAATATTGAACATCGCTAAAAATTAATTGCGATTTCTTTGTTATAGCTTTATTAGTGAGCACGTTAAAATCGCTAAAATTACATCTCGCTAAAAAAAATATACCGATCTTTAAGGACAAATCACTAAATTCGCGTCTCGCTAAACTTTCCACGTATACTTGTTACTTTTAGTCTTAAGAGAATTACAAACACACGGAGAGAGAGAGAGAGAGAGAGAGAGAGAGAAAGAATAATTAAACAAGGTAAACACAGCTTTTTGGACCGTCTATCATGTTGACAGAATCAGACAAGATCGCGTGTTGTGTTTTGATGAACTCTTTTGACTTACTGAAACTGCGACAGATTCCAGATACATCATATAATTGTAACAAGGCCAGCCACAGCAATATTGGATACCGCATGCAAACCTAGAGGTATTATAAAGTAAAACAGTTTCATTACAAAGTGGTCTGTCAAGATCAAGACCTAGATCTACGTAAAGAAAATACATGTTTTGTGCCGAACCATAACTACTATGTTTAAGCTGATCTGAATTGCACTTTATGGTCCACAATATATTATAAAAGCCTTAAAGATGCTTATTTTGCTCATCATAATTTATTTACAAACCGCCACCGAAAGAAATACTGTATACACAGAAATGTTCGCCCTCTCCATGGCTGTGCGAATTTAAAAGGGAGCGAATTATTTCTTAAACAGAACTATAACTGGGAGAATTTAAATTGGGGCAAATTGTTTGCAAGCGCAAAAAGAAGAAGGTAACATGGGGAGAATTTAACCATAAATACAGTATATTCAAAATTATGTCGTCTTAAGATCAATGATTATGGTCAAGTTCTCTCCTAAAGAGATCAAAACTGATTTTGATGCAAAATTTAGGATACTTTCATACACAACGTGAATAGGATCCCCACCTAATTGCGGGGGTTATGACGTGAACAGACTTGAATCTACACTACTTTTGGGTCGTCCACGTGTGGCAGTTGTTAGAGCGTCTGTTCTAGATTCGTGGAGAAAGCAGTTGATCCTTACGTCGCGGGTTCAAATCCCGCCCAAAAAGTATGAGCTAAGATTTCAAGCATCTGCAATGAACAGTTGATGAGAAAACTGCTGCGAAAATTTCTGAGCTTTCCACCGGCAAATGGTGGCATCTCCATGTGAGTAAAACAAATTCTCGGGATGAACGTTAAACAACAAACAAACCACAGGCACTTGTTTCTGTAATAAATTTTTGATCCATAGTATAATAATAATGTTATTATTATATTATTAGTTAAAATTTATTCCCAAAACAAGTGCCCGTGAAACAAACATTGCCATTAGATGTTTTTATGTGAATAAGACTGATCATGACGTTGAGAAAAACATTTTCAAAGATGATTTTGTCCTTTAATACACACATGCATTCGTTTATTCGTCCATTCTGACCACACCCTACCGATGGGGCATGATTAAAAAAAATTAATGCAATACCCGGAAGCTTTTACATAATTTTCATCCTTTCTGGTTCAGTGATCCCTTAATATTTTTTAATGAACTCATGCAAGTTTCACCTTTTTTTAATGACTTCTCTTGGAAGAGGATGTGGTCCTTAATTTCAACAAAATTGAATTATTATAGAACCTTCAAACAAAGATACTTTCTGCCAAGTTTGATTGAAATTGACCCAGTTATATTCTGGATATGAAAATGAAATTATAAAATAAGTTTACGACAATGACGACGACAGACAACAGACAAATTTCGACCACAAAACTTCCTTTGAGTCTTCGACTCAGGTGCATGACTTAAGAAATAGGACGATTTTCTCCCTAGTTTGGACTTTCAGTATTTTCGTGGCATTTTTTAAACGCTACGTAATGGCGAATTTTTTTAATGACTTCTCTTGGTTAAGAAATTAATAACATCAGGAAAATTTAAATTGTTGTTGACAACGATATGAGACGAATTATGCCCAAATTCTGTGCTTTAATTTGCTATTTACTACACCAGTTGATTCTATCATATGTATATTTCAACAGTGAAGGAAAGTTTTGTAAATTTTAGAAGCTAATTATAGGTAACGTCGAGAATGAAACGCCTCACTGCAAGTCCCAACTAAGGGTGTAATGATCCTAAATATTTCTTACCATTTTTCTGTTTAGTGATCAGGGAAACTGAGTAGCTCAACTGTATATATACAAAAAAAATCTCAATAAAAAGAAGATTCACGCTAAGTGATCATATTACAAAACAGGTAATAATCTGACCAAAGCACACATGATGCGCGAACATATTGGAATGAACCTTTTTGAAATAAAATGCAAGTCTTATCAAAAGATGTTATAATGACGAAAAACGCTAAAAAGAGGTGTATGGACCACATCAATGACCTGAACGCATTAATGATTACGAGAAAGCTAAAATCAATTCAGCATTGAAAATTTACCGGGAGGTGAAAATAAATTATTAACACTACCTCCGAATACTTCCAAATCAACATAACTATTCATGACTTAATGATTAGAAGTACTCTAATTTTTTTTTTATGTGAAACTCTGTTTGCTCATTTTGGCATCACCCAACCCATCCTAGATCTGAACAAATACAAATCTACGCTACTTGAGGTTGCTTCTGTAATAATAGGACTAACCATGACTTTGTTGTTCTTGAGCAGTAGAGTTTCGAGATGATTCCTAAATTCCTATATATTCTTATGTAAAATTTTGTCATTCTGTTGTTCCCCCTTAACCCCTGGTGGGTCATGGTTTGAATGAACATAAATTTACACTACCCGAGGATACTTCAGTATTTATATGACTAACAATGGCTTAGCTATTCGTAAGCATTATGAACATTTTTAAACATAATTATTCCTAAATACTAGTAATTCCAGTGTAAAATGTTGAACCACTGTTGTGTGCGCACCCACGCACATCCAGGGGTCATGATTTGAACATACTTGAGTCTACACTACCGGATAATGCTTCTATATTAATATGACTAATATGGCTTAGCTGTTTTTGAAGATAAAAGATATCTTCTATGGTTAAACCAATCCCTTGTTGTGGCTTCCCCTACCCTTTGGGGTCACGATTGGAATAAATTTGAGTCTTCACTAAATGAGGAAGCTTTAATTAATTATGACTAACCATGACTTTGCTGTTCTCTCTCGAGATTTTAAGTCATTTCTAATATATTTCAATTATATTTCTGTTTATAAAACTTTGACCCCTTCGTGTGGACACGCCTACCTCGGGGCTTATGCTTTGATAAAATTTGAAGTAAGATGATGCAATGAAGATTTCACGTATAAATTAAATCTTTTCTTGCCCTATGGTACTTGAGAAAATCCTTAAAAGACGCCATAATTCAGAATCAGTCATTTACACTTGTTCGAAATATCTTTTAGAGATAATAATAATTACATGTATATGAAATGTGGAATTGAAGCAATCATAATGCATGCAATACTAGAATTCTGGAATATTAACAGAGGTCAGCATTCGTGAAAATGAAGAATTTATACCATTACTGTGTGTGGCTTAAGTGATTATTTATGTCCTCTTGGAAAAGAACAGGTACATTTGTTTCATGAGTATAATGATCAATAATAAAGAAAAGTGAAATCCATGACCGTGGAGACCCTTGTTGCAGGTGTATGGCACCAGAGAAGGATTAATTAAGATGGCTAAACTTTGATAATATATCTCATTTAAAAAGAACTATAATAGGAATCAGATTTAGACATAAAGTCAAATTTTAAATCATTTTGTCAGATAACTAGCTCTTTGGTGATACAGTATTGAATAACACTTTTTGACCCCCGCTTTCGCGAAAGCGAAGGGACATAAAGTCTCATTCTTCTGTCCGTCAGTCATGTCCGTCCGTCACAAAAAACTTAAACTTTGCCCATAACTTTGGATTTAGTGGAGCTATGATTTTCAAATTTCACATGTATATTCCGTGTGACAAGACCTTTCTTTTTGACCTTGGAGTTTGACATACTTTTTAAAAACTTTAACCTTGGCCATAACTTTTGAACAGTAAGGGCTAGGGCTTTTATACTTAGTATATTTGTAATCTTTGTGAGAAGATCTTTCATTGGATACCTAGGACTTTGTCCTTGACCTTGGAGTTTGAACTTCTTTAAAAAACAAACCTTTACCATAACAGTTGAAGGGTTAGGGTTATGTAGGGCTTTTATACTTCACATATTTAATCCTCGTGACAAGACCTTTCATTGGATATCAAGAACTTGGACCCTATGACCTTGGAGTTTGACCTACATTTCATCAACTTTAATCTTGGTCAAAACCTTTGAACGGTAAGAGCTAGGGCTTTCTTATTTCACATACAATGAAGCGCATTGAAGTGGTAAAATTTTCCGTTCGAATGGAACGTTTTGAACTATCTTTAGAACGTTTATTGACATCTTATGACACGCCCATTTCTTTAGAAATGGATAAAACGGTCAATTTGTTTATTCGAATACCTGTAGAACAGGTTTTCCATAAATATAATAACCAATGAAATTGACGGTCTAAATAAATACCGAGTAAACACGTGTTCGAACGAAACATGTGTTGTGGTAACTTCAATAGACATGATAAGTTCAAAAAATATGTACATATTCGTTGCAAATTTTGTTTACAGAAGCGGAGAGTCTCTAACTCTCTCTTCTAATTTTTTTAAAGCTCCATTTCAGTGTAACTCATATTGCTTGTCGCGAAGAATGGAGTGTCCTAAAACATTACGACGAATATTTCTTTCTCGTTTCTAAAAATATGGTCGTGTCATTATGTTGTAATTGACGTTCAAAACATGACTCAGAACGTTTCATCCAAACGGAAAATTTTACCACTTCAATGCGCTTCATTGTATGTAATCCTCGTGAGAAGACATTTCAGTGGATACCAACAACTTTTATCCGTTAACCTTGGATTTTGACATACCTTTCAAAAACTTACTCTTGGCCATAACTTTTGAACAGGTGGTGCAAGGGCTGTCATATTTCATAATCTTTTTTTGTGAGAAGACTCTACTTTGAGTACCGATATATCTAATTTGCATTTAAGAAAAGTTTAATCTTCGCTATGTTGCATACGGGGTCATCAGTGTTTCACAAACTCATCTTAATTGTTCCTTATAACTTTTGATTGAAAAGAGAGCTTTCATATTTGGCATGTGCATTACCTGTGACAAGATAATTCCGAGCATACTATGATTTCTCACCCCTTGACCTTGACCTTTTTAAAAAAAAATCAACTTCGGTAATAATTTCTAAATGCTATATGATAGAGCGTTCATATTTGACTCATAAAAAATACCATCTCACTCACAAAGACACTGAAAGCGGGAAACCACAATTCTTTAAATTTGATTGTTTCTTCATTTTTGACTTCTACATAAGATCAGCAGAACATATACGTATATATTTATGAATTAAGCATAAAGTACATGTAAGAATATAATTATCAAGATAAATAAATACAGAGAATCTGTGTCCCAGTCTTAAAGAAAAAAGATAAGGACAGACTGGGGCATTTGGGAATAAATAGACGTTACGTACCAAATATAACATTTCACGACAAAAGCTTATAAGCGATATCGTCCAAGGATCACGTCTAGCTTTCTTAATTTAATAAGAAGCCATTAATGCTATACTCTTATTATAGACGCCTTGTTTAAGAATATCGTAACTTAGTCGCTTTAAATTTAAGAAAAAAAAATATACTCTTTTGAAAAAAAAGAAAAGAAAGAAACACAAAGTAGGAACAATACCCAGAAAAATGTAAGATAGTTTTGTCACACTTTTTTTTAGATGGGTTTTATGCATTCGAGTAAAATGCGTTATTTTTCAATGCAGTTTTAACGTTACAGCTATTTTACTATTTTACAAATCTCACAGACAAAACGAACTGATTTTGCAAAATGAACAAAAAGATTTAGCTCAATTTTTATTTGTTGGTTTCTAATGGAATTAATTCTTTCAGGCACAAAGGGCCTATAAAAAGCAGGTGTTCTCGATATTTTTAATCTGGTTTTATCTAAAAATTGACGCTTTCATAAAATGCTGCATCTGAATATTGCATAGCACAAAAGGAAAATGGAAGACTGGAGGCAGGTTACCACAGTCTACAATTGCAAGAGGTTTTATCTTAGATACTGAAAGTACAAGTTCCATACCTTCATCTAAGATAAGGGCGAAATCATTGAGGAAAACGGTTAATCTAACAAGATTTCGCATATCATTCAAGATATTTTCATAAACTGTAGATCGCTAAATTTTCGCGACACCTTATTTTTCAAGAGATAGTCATTTCATGTATTTCTTTATTAGCGTGACAAAATTTTCACGAATTGTGGTCATTGTTCTTTAAAATCGTAGAGTACTTATATATGCAGAATATAGATTATTGTAAAGTTCTCGTGAATAAAAAGTGATTTACAGTAGAACAAACCATACCGCTTTGACTCTATAGGATCACGAAATCCTCTTATGCATTTGTTTCTAACATACCTAATCAAGAAGCATTAATATATGTATAATATGAAAAGTGGGCAAGGTTAAATACATCGAATTCGGATTCGAATCCCACCGAAGGACGTGGAGACAAGTCCTTCGGATGAGACCGTATAAACCGAGGTCATGCGTCGCAGTAAGAGCTGGCACGAAAAAGATCCCTCCCTGCTCAATGGGTGCCGAGTATCGGTAAAGAAAAATTTGCAGGTCTCCACCGGCAATCGGTGGCATCTCCATATGAGTGAAAAAATCTCGAAAGGGACGTTAAACAGTATACAATCAATCAATCACACATCGAATAAATTTAATAATCAACTCGCATCAGTACTTTCAGTATTTTGATTATTACAAACATTTGCTTCCATTAGATGCCGTTTTTGGCAAATGATCTTGAATGACCCTGAACTGTCTATGATTTTAAAATTCTCGAGTAATTATGACATTGAGATAGTATCCCTATTGTTAATGACATTTCTGTATTATTAATAAATCATTTTGCTAAATAATCTTTTTGATCAGTGTACCACTAAAATTCTACAATGCATTTCTTCTTTTTTTGTTTTGAAGAGTATACATGTTAGATGTATATTTGTTCATACATCTGATTTTATATAAATTCAGTGGTGTAACATCGTTTTTGAAAGGGGTGGGGGGCATCCCGAGGAAGAAAAA